GAATTCTGCTGTGTCAGCAGCTGATACGATTACCTCCGTACATCAGCCAGAGATTTCAAACGTATCGTACCATGGAACACACAAACCTAAAGGAAAACCTCCTCCAGAATGCCCTATGCATAAATCTATACAGGAAGAAGCACCATCAATGTATTCCAGCGAATGTCCGATTAATGACATGGCTCCAAATGAGATCAATCCCTTAAACATGGTTAATATCTTCGTTAACATGTTTGAGAATGAGAATAATTCTTAGGACTGGTTCATTTTCTCTGAACGATAATTTAAATAAAATTCTAGATGCCACCAGCTAATCAACAACCGGCACCAGATCAGCCTTTCCCACTGCCAACAGAAAGACAAATTTCATCCATACCAAAAGCAACAGGTGATGGAGAGTTTTGGGTGTACCCTTCGCAACAAATGTTTTGGAATGCGATGCTGAGGAAAGGTTGGAGATGGAAGAACGACGACATAACACCGAAGGACATGGACGATATAATAAAAATTCATAATGCAAATAACGAATTGGCGTGGCAAGAGGTGCTTAAATGGGAGGCACTTCATGTAAGGGAGTGTGGTACTCCAAAATTGCGCAGCTTTGGAGGCAAAGCCAAGCAATATTCGCCACGTGCACGCATTCGATATTGGATGGGGTGAGTTATGTCTACAGAGAAGAATAACTCAGAATTACCAGAATTACTCTCAGATAACTTGGACTAACATGCATGGAACTATTTCCTTTTAGATACGAATTACCATTTGACCGGCACGACTGGATTATAGATAGATGTGGAAAGGATGTACGATATGTTATAGATTACTACGATGGTGGGACAATTGACAAAAATTATACGTTCACCTTGTTGGATGTTAGACCAGCTATGGATTCTTTAGAGAACATTTGGGATCGCATGAGGGTTACATGGATGCGTTGGAAATATTGCAACGAATCAAGCGAATCAGAATGTACGAAAAACGAAGAGAAGAAATAGATGTTGATAGACCGAAAAGATATTAGTTTGTTACTGAATTCTTTACATTCGTTTTAATGAATTACATGTTACATTTACCACTGTACAGTTTTTAAAATACAGATTAACTGTAACTATACAATAAACCAAAGAAATTCGCTAACGCTTAAAAAACAAAAAGAATACTAGATAGAAATCTAGTATTTTTTTTTAGTATTTATATAATTACGATAATTTTAAGAGAAGAAAATAAACGGCAAACTTCTGAAGTTCAATTTTTGTAATTGACGTGTACATTCTAGTGAATTAAAAAGATTTTTATAAATTTCGAGACTTGTTCTTTTATGTATCGTACACCGTTTTATTGTCACCGTTTTATTGAATATTATTTGTACTCAATGATAAATTAAAGAAATTTCTGATCAAATGTTTTGCAAAGTAAAATTACATTATTAATAACATTCGTGTTGTTACTTAAAACGTGCAGACTTTACATTTTATTTCGTTGCAAAATTAATTTATATTAAGCTTAACTATATTTACTGCACATATACATATGCATATGTACATTGTATTCTTAAATATTTTACTGCACATATAAATATGTACATTGCACTCTTAAATAATATACCTTTATTAACATATATTATTTACTATTACAAAAAAGGTTTGATACATAATAGAATGTTAAATTGAGGCTCAAATAACGAGATTAGTTACAATAATATATTAGCATTTAATATTTTATTATCCGAAATTTTATCCTTCTTCCTTTTTAATCTCACTATAAAATCATGATTTATAAATCATTCCTTAATCACAATTCGCATTATATTCTTAACCCTACCTTTCTTTGACAATTTCTTTTTAAATTTACAATGTATCAAAGTTAATTATTTTACCTAATACACTAATCCCTTTCCTTCTGCATTAATAAGAAAAAAAAAACATAATTTCTCTATGGAATCGACACATTAACTCTCTACACTCTATTCCACTCGTTTCATTTCTTCCTAAAAATATTCCTTGACACTATTTTGCTCCAATTTTCAACAAACAATGAATAAACAAAATTTTGTATAAATTTACCAAAGATAATTGATTTTTAATCAACTTATCAAAGAGTTTAACAGTTTTAAATAGTATTATGAGGCAGGTAGCCAAAACAGTTATTGGAGCCACAGAGACAAGGTGTATGACTGAGATTATGGACGGAATTAGTAACTCCGCCAGCATAGTCAAAAGTTATCTCCTCGCCAATCTTTATATCTCTGGATGCAAACAAACATAATCGTGGTACTGGTCCTTCCACTCTGATAGGTACAAGATTAGTATTAGGCTCGCAACTGTGGTTCGAGTATCGTCCAATATTGCCAAAATGCTTGGGATCTATGCACGTCACTATTATTCGATCCCTGATATGCTCAGAAACCACAAGGACATAATTCATGGTATTTTTATTCGCCTCAACTCTGCGTCTTGCCTCGTCGATACCTACTACCTCGCCAGCGTATTCGCAAATGAACTGACCTTTCTTAATCGATTTACTCGTGAACAAACCGTGTCCTTTCCCATCAATCTTCGACACGACTAAACTATCCACTGGACCATTCTGTACCACTCTATTCCCGCATCTTTCTCTACAAGTACAATGTGAGTTACATTCAATTATTGGCCCTGATAATTTTTCATCCAGTATACAACCGTCTATATAATTCGGAGAGCCACGTGTACACGAACAATCGGTACACCAAACAGTACACGAGCAACCTAGTGAATATTCTGACTCGAATTCTTTCAAATCTATTCCAGGGCCTGGTATGTTACATATCGTGTACATGACACTAGGTACAATATGTTCGTATTCATCTGCACAGGCAGTCGCCTCCATGTTTATTACAATGTTTATTTAATGAGAAAGCCGAAGAAAGTTCGACAGGATCTTTAAGGATAGCACAAAATAAAGGAAACAATTGTTTTGCTTTTGTTTCTCTCTTCTCGACAAAAGTATACGTTATATATATATATTTCAATAAACAGCTCTAAAAGTCAAGTTTCGGCTATTCTACTGCTTAACACTGACCTTTAACAATCCTTCGAGCGACGATTTGATTGATTGCAACGTACTAGTGAAAGGTAATGGTATAATTTTATATCCCACATAAATGGTAACTCCCAATAAGGAGGCTTTAATTGTGAATTTCAATATTTTGCTTGATAAAGGTTGAGGAGGTACTCTATAAAAAAAAAAAAATATGGAACGAGAGTATTGGTATCTGCAGTAATTCATCCATGAATTTCTATGTTAGCTTCATATATACCGTATAATAGGCCATATGTCGGAGTCTTTCACTTTTCCCCAGTTTTCGACTATCCCATTGATATGTCCTATGCCAACAACTCCTACAACTCTTGGTACTTTTAGCCCTTGCGAAGTATGTTGCGCTACAGTAGCCATCTGAAGATGGTATGTAAGATACATGTCCCTTTCTGTGACAAATGTCCTCTCTATAGCTGGATATTCTTCCCTCAATGATGAAATCATTTGTTCTATCACTGATTTCCGCTTATAACGCTCTACATCTTGTTTACTAATGTGGGAGTCTAATCGTACCATTAGCCAAGCAAGTTTTATTATTTCCCACCAAGATAATTCTCTCAATGCACGTTGGAGCGTTACATTAATCGAGCGATCCGCTAACTGAATAATACAGTTTGGTACCTTTTTCGCCTGAAGAAGCACCGTGGAATTTATAATTACTTCATGTTTTTTTCTTAAACCAGTTAAAACCTATTCTAATTTACCTCTTCAAACGCTATACGAAATTCACCACCTGGTGGCATTCCAAGTTCCTTAACAACATGAGCTACCATGCGGTATAACATAATATGTAACAATCCATTATAAGCTCCATAGTGTCTTATCGTTTCAGTCAAACTTTCTGCAAAGTGAAATAAATGAACACCATGTCGAAAGCATAATGTTTAAGTATATAATCTGAAGAACTTACTAATACTTAAATCTGTTGCATTACGATACAGAGCTTCCTCGTTAATGTTTATAACGTCGATTCTAGCTTTACACAACTCAACTACAACTATCTGAGGCTGCACAGCCTGAATGATCTTTAATTGTAAAGAAAAAATATATGTTTTTATTATTCTACTAGGAGGTTCCTACTAACTTTGAGAACAAGATTTATTGCAATGATCCTTAAATATTCTAAAATATATCTAATATGTTCAGTACATATAAAATTTAATTTATTTACCGTTGCAACGTCATTTTGGCTCTCAACACTAAAATGTGCTGTGCCTACTAAATATAGTTTTCCTCCCTCTGGTGTAGTAAGTAATGTTACTGTTTCTGGTAACCTTTCGTCTATGCTTGCATCATATTCCGGTTGAATAGATGCACCACTATCTTTACTTTTATAATTACTTTCATTGTGAGTACTAAATCTCAATTGATGACCAACAATTTCTACAGTGAAGACAATCTTGGTTTAAATACATAGCTTAGTATCCAAAAAGTTCATAAATATGTAAAAATAACAGCTAGAAACTATCGTACAAGTGATGATAATACCTTGACGTTTTGAAAATTTTGTTTTACTTTTATATTGCACTGGCATTCTGATAGCACTAATATACTACTGTGTCAAGTTTACACTATAACTTAATCAATATTGATTTTATTATCACATTAGAAAGACAAAGAGAGAGGAGAGACCTTGTAAGTCTCTTTCTATAGAAACCTTAAAACATCAGCTGTTTTAAAATGTCTCTTCAAATGGCTAACATACTTGTGACAGACTATATGTCAATAATCAAATTCTATCAATAATCATCTAATCATAAAAATTAAACTATAATAAATTACAAAAGTGACATAAAAACTGCAATATTTTTGACGATATTACTATCACTTATGAGTGTTTTGTGAAAATTTTGATTATCACCTTTAGTTTGATCTTCTTTAGAATCTATCATAAGTTTTACAGTATTCACATCTGGTTTTGATTTATCATCGGACTGTACATCTATTTGCAATTCGCTACTAATTAACTTTTCAGATGGAATTGTAATATGTAAACTTCTATCGTCAATAGTATCTTTTGCATCAACTACAAAGTACCGCCTAGTCAGCAATACATTTTTATTCTTGCCAAAATCTGAGCTCATGACATCTGAAGACATTTTATACCTAATATTTCAAAATATATTATATACAAATATATATGAGATTAAATCATTTCTCTCTGATTTTATAGTAAACGAAGAACAAATTTAACTAATTTAACAAATTTAACAAATTTAACTAATTAATTACAAAATTTAATTAATTTAACTATCATAAAAATTTAATTAAACTTATATATTTAAATTAAATAGAACATCAAAACAAAATTATTTAACAAACGCAAAAAAGTTACAATTCTAAAAAAATCTCGAGGAAATTAATTAAAAACACTTAAATTACATTCTCCTATAACCTCAATAAATAACAATATGGTTTTAATAATTGCATCATTCTAATCACAAAAATGATACAAAATTTTCCTTACGAAATGTTATGTTGAATGATAACTGATATTTTAAATGTATTTTATATTATGTCGTAAATAACCGTAATAAACGAAAACAAAATTTGGGACAACTTGTCACTTGTAGATGACGTGTCAACTGACAACGCTGTACAAAAATCGTTAATAAATAAATATTCAGTTATTAAAATAAGTCATTCTAATAAACTTGATAAGATAAGTCAAGTTTCTCTTATTATTAGATTTTATTCTTTACTTATCCACAAACACGCAAAGTATGGAGGAATCAAAGGCAGTGGTATACTATCTATAGCAATCAGTTAACTATAGAAGGAAGTATCGATTGTTGTCCTAATTTTATATTTGGCGGTAAAAATTATGCATATTAAATATATTATTTCCCCTTTCTGTAATCTTGTTTTAACGCATGAAATTATCTTCCATCTCGAACATTTGCCAATATTGATGGATATATTCTATTAATAAAGACTAAAACGATACCACCCTTGTGTGAATTCTATTTTTCAAATTCATTCAAATCGAATTCTTTAAAATTAATCACGATTTTATAGTGAGTACATTTTAAAATGAAAGAAGTAAAATGTGCAAGTAAAACTGCAGATATACTTATACACTTGTTTAATAAAAATTTAAAAATTTGATAAGACATGTATATGCAACAAATACACAAATATTCCTATGTTTAGATTTAGAAGATAAAACAAATCTGAATTTACATTGCATTAGATTAGGTTTAGTTATATAAAATTTTACAAAAAATTTCCGCGGTCTAATAATGATTATCAAAAATATTTGATATTATTTACTCACCAATGCAGTGGTAATCTTGCAGCAATCTTGGTCTGCAGGGAATTAGGAGGATAAGATTGTCCTTGCTGCATGTAATTGCATTCTTTTTGTTTAAGATGATATCTCGGATCCCCTATTTCACTTCACTTTCTACAACAATATAGAAAATATAACAATTAATTTATAATTCAAATAAGAAGACGAACAAGTTGAAAAATTCAAATTATTAAAAAATGGCCGATAGAAGGCGCCATTCGAACGTAACGGAAAAATTTGAATTGAATTGTCTACTTCAACAATAATTTTCATATGCTGCAATTTCTATCATCTTTTTTGTAATTATATATTTTATTGTCGACATAAATAACCAAATTCTCAATAAATTAACTATACTCGTGAAGTAAAATAAATAAAATGTGTACTATACGAAGGAACGTACTAGTAATGTTCATTTTGATATTACAACATTTCATATCATAAATTATATCAACACATAATCTTTAAGTTATATTGCATATGAAATGAGTAAAAGCTTACCGAATTTGTGGAAATATTAGTAAAAAATTCAGAATATTTCCATCTCACACAACACACGTACTATACAAACCGCGCGCGACATAACGACTGAAATAAGCGTCACTCGACTTCAGGGTCTACACGAGTTCCATGCAAAACGCGGGTAAATTTGAATAAGACAAACATCATTTTGCAAATTTTTCATGTTCTGTAATAAATTATGATAAATTATGATAAATATAAATATAAACAAGTGATAATTGTACGTATATATTTAAAAATAAAACAGATAACACCTAATTAATAAGTTTTAAATTCGTCATTTTTATTCTTTTAAATGTCTCTCATTGAATTATGAATATTTTAATGCAAAATACTTGTTAACTGAATGACTTGTAGATAACATCACTAAGTAGATAACAAACGCAATCTTACAAGTTTTAAACATATATTTATTATTCAATTTTTTGTGATTCGCACATTCACACAGTTCTTAGAGTTTCTTACACCTCACATAATTTATATAAATTGTTATCGTTTTGAGCTGCATTCAGTAAAAATAACCTTATTTAAGCAGTAATGAATGACACTCGACTTGTGCAAATCTGGAGGTATCAAAATATTTTCTTTAAGTTATAAGGGAAACGATACTTTTACTTTTCCTCCTTTAAGTGTATCTCTTAATTTTCTTCTTTTTCGTTTGTTCTCAGTGTTCATCTCTTAACAACGTAGTAAATTTTTTTTCTGTCTTATAATTGGAATTATTTAAGGCCGTCTTCTTTCGCAACATAGGAAACCATGTTAAGTTTGATCTTTTATCATCAACAACAAGACTACAATTGCTTGCACTTTGTGATAATTATGTGAAACTTACAAACAGCGATCTTACCTAAAAAGTACAAAGTACAAGCAAGTATCGATGAATATAGAACTATGCAAAACATTTAATTAAATAGTATCATTTTTTTCTGTAGTAATAATATCTCTGTTGGATTTTGATTTTTAAGTGCTTCATTTTGAAAATGAATTTAATTAATACACGTTTCTATATTCAGTCGTACTTGCCACCATCGCATCAATCCTTATTGACAAGAAAAGAAATATAGAAATTTCTTAGAAAGCCATTCTTATGCTAAGTACACATATCAGTAGTTTTTACACGTATAAGCTCATTATAGTTATGGAAATATCCTATCCTTTCCTTTTGCACAAATAATACAATGCGCAACCAATAATCAATTTACTGTGTGACAATCAATCCCTGTTTTTGACTTAAATCTATAAAGTTTGACTAGTATG